TTATCGGGGTCAATATCCCAATAAGCAATCTTTCCATCTATATACTTAAAGGGGAATTCTTTTATCAAGGTCCCATCGTGGTGGACCATTGTCCCATCGTGGTGGACCACTACCTCAAACCTTTCCTCAGACATCTCAATCCCTACCCTGCAAATGCTAACGGAGACCACTAAATTTACTTAAACTAAGAACTATGGGACCCAAAAAGCGACAATCTTGATCACTACAAAATTTAGGAAATATTTTTTAATGATTTAAAAATTATTAGACATCTACCACTTGATTATTCACATCTAATGCTTTATAACGTTGGTGTCTTGACTTTTCAACATCAAACTCTTCAAGAACATTCCTTTTCCAATTTGCTTTTTTAAATGTTTAAAAAGAATTAGATGTTGGCCACTTAACTTCGAAAGCATGAGAAGAGAAAGCGCAAAGAAATAGTGGAAGGAAAATGCTTTCTCGCATTATTTTTTTAATTTATAAAACACCATATAACATTAATCCCCCTAGGAGACCAACATCATATCACATTAGACGTCAGACAAGTATGGGGTTGACATCTAATGAATATAGAAAATTAATTTTTGTGTTATACTTTTTAATGATTTAAACAACATTAGATGTCAGTCCCCTTGACTGTTTGATGTCTAATGAGATATTATATAGGCCAATTGATTGTCTAATGTCATAAGGATATAGAAAAGGACTTTTCAGGAAATATCTCTTTCAGAAAAAGTTTAACAATCATTCTAGAAATATTTTGTCCTTTATGAAAAACCAAATTGACTACCATGTATATGACGCTTTGACCATCACAATAAATGACATGACGCTTAATAATAGGAGTTCTTAATTAATGGGTAAACAGAGCCATTAAAGCTCGCAAGTGGTAAAAGTAAGAGTATTATACCCTAGTTTTATGAAGATCAAGAAAAAATGGATTACTTCTTGAATTTCTAAGACTATAAAAAATTACCAATAAAAAACAAATCAATGATGAAACTTCCAATATCAACACGCGTGCACAATTAATTTTAATGAATCCAAGAAGTTGTGTTGAGGACTTATGAGAAAAAATAAACCTTTTCTAGATAATAAAACACTCTCAAGGAAGTTCGTATGAGTCTAAGTTGATTCTACCATGAATTAATTGAGTTGTTGAGTATAAAAGATGGTATCAAGTCTTATGTTAGTTAAATAGATGTGACAACCTATTAATCATATATATGACAAGGATATCAACTAAAGGTTCACTAGAATCTTATTAATATGCAAGGAATCATTTATCAGAGTGGAAGAGGGTTTGTAATCCATGAGACAAGATTCTTTCATCAAGTTCAAGTAATATTTGCATTGACATAGAGAAACATCATTGTTGGAATAAGCCATTTATATTCCAAAAAGAATATATCAACTAACCAAGATCGTTTATATGGAAGTAAGATTGAATAGTGGTTTAATTTTAGTAATTTCGAAAGCACAATTTCCAATATGTACGGTATCATCAAAATAAACAGTGAAAACAAAACCAGTAACTTCGATGAATAAATTGTAAATAACATGGACTTGAAGATACATGAAAGACAATAATGATTAAGATAACTTTTCATACCATGTGAGGCCTACTTACACTAATCTGGTCAACATATCCATCCATTAAGTTCAATTGAGCTTGCATTGCTTGAGTCATTTGGTGACATGGTCATCTAATAGCCTTAGTTGTTTAATCCAACTTGTGAGTCATCTAATCAACACTTTTGACTGAGCTCGTCTATACTTCACTTTTATCCAGGTTTGCCTTAGTCTTCAAGTATCATATGTTATTGTACAAATTTTGCTACACACACATACACACTCTGAAGTCTTTGATTTGGTTTACCTTTTCTATGTTTATGCTTGTCTAAGTGTATTGTCTAATCATCCTTAGCTATATTGCATCATTACCTTATTTACTTAACTCTTTTGTTTCTTTATAAACTATATTACTTTCAAAACCTATTTACCATCAGACTCGTCTAATGAAGTTTATCAATGTCTAATACTAACATCAATCACTTAAATTTGTTAATGTGTTTTTCTGTATACTAGGCAAGCTTTGTAGGGCTCGATATATCCATCAAGTCTTCTCTTTATTTTAAAAATCCTTTTGCACCTAATAAGTTTGACAAATAGAAATTGGATAATATCCTAATAATACATCTTTGGTCTTTGCTCAGAATCAAGACACTTTAGANCCTTTCAAAACACACCTATCTAAACAGATAATTGGCTTACAACTGACAAAGTTGTCCTTACAAGCTTTGAGACAAACATAAAATCTTTTAAACATTGAGTCACCATCATCACTGTCAACTTTAACCTTAATTGTTGACTCAGGATTACACCTCAACAGCTCATGCGCATAGTCATATATTCTTCTAAACTGTTCTTTAAAATCTCATACAAGTTGATTTGATGCCATTAACTTTGCCCTTCGAGCTTTGGAAATTGAAACTTTAGTATTCCATTTCTGTAATGTTTTATTACGTATGTCTTTCACCTTTAAATTAGGATTTTCTTGTAAAGACCTATCTATTTCCTGACCCAACCACTTTGTATTCATCAATTTAATGTTAAGTTGTCTACTGCAACTATGGGTATCAATTATTTTCCTTAATTGCCAAAATTGTCGTGTTGGCAAATACCCACAGTAAGCTACACATGGACACTTACCTTGCCCACCTATGCATTTCACATCACCCTAAGCTTATCATTTTTAATAAACTGCAGAGCTCTCCCAGTATGAACATCATAGCTTTTAATGGCCTCCTTAAACTCATCCTTATCTGTAAATATAGTCCCAACTTCCCATTTTTAATCGGCCATTGACTTTTGTTTCCCATTACGAAACGGACCAGACTTTGGTCTATATTCATTGTTGTTGTCCTCAATACCACTGTTTTCTGGAGTTAATATGACATCAGAATCCCATTCAGCATCTGACAACCTCCTACCACTATCTCCAACCTTATACTCTTCATCACTATCCTCCAAAGCAATACCAACATCTTTTGCCTCCTTCATGTGCTCATCACCACTAAGATGATCCATATGTCCTCCATCCTCACTCTCCACTTCAACTTCTTCCTCATTGTCCACTCCACCATATATCTCCACATGCATTACACTTTCTCTCTCCATTTCAACTCCACCATCTATGTCCACCTTCACTGCACCATCTACCTCCTCTCCACTATTACTGTCCACGTCCACTCCACCCTATTTGTCCACCTCCACTCCACCATCCACCTCTTCTCCACCATTATTGTCCACCTCCACTCCACCCTCTCTGTCCACCTCAATTCAACCCTCTGTATCCACCTCCGCCTCGACTTTGCCATTTGTCCCCAACAAGTCACCCTCACTAACCAACTTACCCTCAGTCACCAATTGACCCTCACACACTAAATGACCATTATTTTGGACGTCCATCTCAACTTTTGCCTGCACCCCTACTTGAGCATAGTCAACTGCTCCTTCCTCAACCTCTTTTTGGACTTCAACTTCCTCGTCCACATTTCCTTCATCACCACGCTCAACATGTAGGAAACCTCCAACCCCACTATCCTCACCACTCGAAGCAGGTGCTTCAGCTTCACAAAGAAAAACAATTTGGTTAACATCATCTTCTACAACCTCTGCATGGTCCACGCCATGTACAACATACAAGTTTACTTTCCCTAAAAAATTTGCCACCTTCATCATATTCATTGCTCCTCTATCATCATATAGTTTATGTAACAAATGTTGTACATTGTAATATAACTCTTTCNTATCATCAACACACTTAGAAATAAAAGGAAAATCATATGCAAAACATCAAGACAATTTCAGAAAGGTGTCCTAGCCTAAAATGTCAAAGGTTGGTGTTACTAATAGGAAGGGAGGTGAAATCATTGTTGAAGACTTTAGGTGGTGTAAAACTCACACGATTGTTCAAGTGATAAAGAACTTGTTTTAATTTACTCACACCAATAGTCTTCAATGACCCCATTTCATGTATATAATAGTTGACAATAGAAAATAATTTAGAGAAGAAATAAGTTTAGAAGAAAAGAGCACATTAAAATTAAAATTGGGAGCATAATGAACAATGAACACAGTGAATTATAAAATTTGAGAAGAATAGAATAGAGACCGAAAAATGTGCAAAAACAATATCATTAGATAAATTGATTTGGACAAGTTTCATTAATGTAATGAAGAAAATAATTTAACGACTAGACAATATGATCTCTTACCCTATAATCAATAATCCTAGGAATGTTATTTGGTATCTATGTTATAGAGCAGAACACTCACATTCAGGGGATGATAATTATGAAGTTCTTCCCATTGAGATTTAAGGGGCGGGTAGTATTTCGAGACAAAGAAGAAGCCTTACTTTGGGTCATATATTGCTTCTTGAAGCTTTGCATTATGAAGAGATTACTCCGAGAAGAACGATCTCTGATATCATTCCTAATGGAAACAATACTCTAAAAATGATAGTTTGAGCATTAAGTTGAGACAGAGTTAGGAAGCCAAGATATGATTAAGGTACTACAATGTTTCTATGTAGTGTGTAAATAATGAATATCCATAGTTTAAGTGATAACACCAGTGAAAAATAGCTAACAATGTTGGCATCTCATTGATGACAAGCACCAAGCATAAACTTATGTTGAAGGATGTAGACATACATGTCAACGAAGAAGCTTCACGATGTTGTACTGGTGAATCACTCTTGAAACTTACAAGTTACAAAATGATCGCTGTCTGAGGACATACTTTTATTATTGCAAAAGGACAATTTCTTTGAACACACCTATCAACATGGAATTTATCAGATATCCTGGGTCAGTGGGAATATCTCCGAAATTTCTACAACTTTTTTAAAGATAGTTTTCGAATCATAATTTCACAAGTTCGAAAGTCTAGATAAAATATTCGCATTTACCAAAGAAAAATAAAAGAGGTACACAGAAGATAAATCTAATTTAATAAATGAGGCATTGTTACAGACTCTAGGCACACTTTACATCATTACAGATTAGTCATAGGGGATCTGTGATTCAATTGAAGCCAATAATTTAGTTAGAATGGGATCTAATGGGAATGGCCATCAAATAGAAAAGAAAAATCCGTCAGTAGACAAACACTACTTCAGCGTTCATAGCACTTCCTTAAGTCACCAACATAAAAGGCAGTGAAATAAACTTGTACAACAGCAACTCACGGACACTTCCTTTGGATATATGAAGCTCCATGCTCCTCATACCTGCCAGAAATGCATTAAAACGATCCAGTGTTCAATTATTACTTACTAGAAGCCTAATTTGGCGCATTTTGTGTTAAAAGAGCGAAAACAAGAAAGGCAGTGTGAATAATGCAGTGGTATAATCACAATTTGGTGAAAGGGGGGATAATTACTCGGATTTGGAGAACCACATTTGCTGGAAGGAGCCAAGAGATGCCAATATACTACCCCCTATCCAAACACTGCATATAAAAGTCATGCATTGAGTTAGAAGACAAGTATATGTATAATGCACCAACAATTACTACCGCATGAAATGTTAATCTGAGTCCCCGCACCCACTATTTTGAAGAGGTATGGAAGCATAACAATAGAAAGGAGGGGCAAAAATTAAGATGGTCTTCCAAAACTAACAACAAAAGAAAACCACACGAAGGATGAAAAAAAGATCTCATTGAATAAACAATTTAAGATCTGCCAAATAAGTGTCCCTGTGAACTGTTTATTCTAAGTGTTAAAAAAGAATAAATTGTAAAATAGGTTAGGAAATTTAATCACTGAAATAGTTTATATTCAGTGTTAAAGAATAAAAACATTGTAAAATATGCCGTTTATGTAAAAAATGAACCCTACCACCAAAGTATAGAAATAAAGCCTTCAAATCTGTAACAAATGCAATGATGAAAACATTGCTTCCCAGATTAATAAAAACGTAACCACTTCATATACTGATTCGTGGAATTGAGGGACTAGAATTAACCATGTAAACAGAAGAAAAAGAAAATGGGAACTTGCAACAAACCAGATTTGTCCTTTGCACCCTTCGCAAAGGTTTCTTCTTCATGAAAGCTAGTGCTCAATCTACAAATGAACATATGTATATATACCTCTCCTATCTTTCTCCCTCTGTTTATATATGATTAACACCTCATCAACTAACAACTAACGACTAACAAGCTCATTTCTATTCAATCTGACTCATATTTTAACAGAATGACGTTAACAAGAAAGAAAGTTTACATCATTGTAAAGTACAATGGTAATCTGTAAGATTGTGCTCATATTGGATTATAAACATTTAGCTAAAGCCTCTGCAGGCTGGCAGTTCTAACAAGGGAAGATTAATTGCAAACATTAATAAATTTCACAGAAGCCATTTAAGTTTGTAATATTATAAAAGTCAACACATTGGATTTATTTTAATTAATTCAGCAGGTGGCGTGTGGTTGTCATTGTTTTTCGAGAATCTGGAACGATTAATTGTAGTAAGAATTGACCACAATGTCATTTCCATTGCAGGAGTCCCCTCAAGCTGCCAGAGTAAAAGTATTGGCCAGTGGGAATGCTACTGAAAGAAGGTTTAGGTGTGTTATCTATCTTGTGTCAATGCACTTATTAATTACGCCATTATCATTTTACCGTTTTACTTTTCTTTCCTGGTTATTTCC